GGCCCACGGTTAGTGAGCTTTAAGCACTATCTCCACGAGAAATCCAGCACCTAAGCATTGCTTTGCTGTTAAAATGTTAACAAGGTTTTTTCCTATTCATAATTCTGGATTAAACTAAAACTCAATTCATAAAAGAGTTTTTTGTCTATTTTTAAAAAAATCAGCAGTAGGTGTTATACTCAAATCTCGCAGAAGAAAGAAACCATTACAAGGCTTCAGGCCTGCTTTCTGCCAGCATTCAAAATAACTATGGTTTGTAAATGAAACATGGGGCACATTGCGACCAGAAAGAAAATAACATGTAACGATGACTCGGCCAATAGTCCAGTAGAAAACTGCCTTGAAAATGGCCGACGGCTTTGCTGCTCATAACAGGAGTTTCCTAGAGGAGCGCAGAGTGGCTGATGATCTGCAAAACTGCAAGGCCAGTGTGCGGCTCTCCAAGGCTCTACACGTGACTACTCATGGGAGTCACCGCAACAAGGGGACATGGCCACACCTTTCCAAGTTATGAAAACTCATCTGTTTGAAGGGAAAATTGAAACTGATGGCCATAGTGGAAAAGCGAGTGACACCTGTGTATTCCATTTTTAGTTGCTCAATACCATCCCAGTCACAGTTACTTCCCACATTGATTTAAAAATTAAGGGATTGCCTAGTTACAATTATTAACAGAAAAAGGCAGGCAGCTCACCCTCTTACACAACTATTAGTGAGTGACTTCGAAGTGAATTCTATGAAGTGGATGTGACATTAATGACAATGAATTTAGGACAGATGGTGCATCAGCTTCCCACTCTGTCGTAACGTTTCTGTTTTCTGTTCCCCATTAGGGTCACATCTGCCTTCCGAGACCTTAGCTGTTGATTAAGGGGGCGCTACCCAGTGTCATCTCAGCACAGCAGTCCCAGTCCGAGCACAAATAAAGGTCGGTACTCATGGCCTCTGCTGCTGCTCTTTCATTCAAGAAGATCTTCTTCTAAGGGGCTTGACAGCTGGATTTGATGCCTGTGCTCTTATTTCATCAACACTGGCAAAATTTTATACTAATTGTTTTACTGGAATGATGATTAAACACTGAACAAAAGAATAAAGGATCCCGGAAACTCTAACCAGTGCTGTTTTACTGTAATAAAAAAACGGGGACACCCAGACATTAGTAGTAGCATATAAAGAGGGTGCCAAAAAAAATGTATACACATTTTAAGAAAGGGAAAAACTATTAAAATTGTAATACTCAATATATGATGATAACAAAAGATGAATACAGGTCACGTTTGACTTCTGCCATAACAAGAGGTGCTCAAAGTGGTTACCATCAGCGTCCAGACACTTCTGATTATGGCGAACTACTGCTTGAGCAACGCTGACCAAAGTGTCCACTTGCATACATTTTTTTGGCATCCCCAGTACACGGATGGGATTATCTCACCCCAAGCTGTCATTCTCAGACCAGGTGCCAGAGCAGAAACAGGCAGGTGCTACTCACGAACACAGCCTTCTCTGAGACTGAGTGGTACCTGTCTCCCTCTCAGGCAATGATCTGCTTCTCTGTGCACCCCACAATCTTGATGCCCTTGAAGTTTGTTTCTACAGCCCCCTGCACCACAGAGGGGCGATGGGTGTATGGCTGGCACAGATGTCCTGGGAGAGGAAGCTCTGGCTCTGGAGAGGGTTGGGTGTGTGGGAGAGTGATCCCAGAGAAACACGCTCTCTTAGTCTCCTGTCCCACCAGACTCCACGAGGGCAGGGTCTGAAAACAGTCCCCGGTGCCAGGTGCCCCTGGCTTCAGAAAACTGCCAGCAGAAGGTTACAGGAATGGCCAGCGCCTCATGTGCTCACACTTCCTGCAGGTCTGATGTTCTCTGCTCGTACATTTGCTTGTCTTCCATAAAGACAAGGTCTGAAGAGCATGGAAGTATGGGACCAAAAACCAACCCAAGTGAGCAGCACACATGAGGCCTGCTGCTCCCCAACTAAATCCCAAATTTAGAAACACAGTCAGGCTGTAATGTCAGATCCCTACTTCTGAACTGATAGGATGGGCAGAAATGAATTGATTACTTTTGCTTGTATTCTAATTGCCAGGAAACCCAATGGTACCACTTTTAATATCTTTTTAGGGAGACTGGAAAGGAGGGAGGTATAAAGCAAAGGAGCTACTGGATGGAACAATATGAGAAGCACATAGCTAAGTTTGTTTCATTTATGTCTACTGAAAAGTATAAAAGGATAGCAAGACATTAGCCTTTTCAGCTATCTTTCCCTTGTCATAGGCCCCTCAGTGGACAGTGACCAGTATTCATACGCCACGTATATGAACTGAGAGGCACGAGCCATAAATGCTGTCAGAAGGGACAATCCTATTAAACAATTCTGAGGTAGCATAAATGATGTAAATGCACACAAGCTGATGGGCAAATTGAGGACCAGAGAGGTCAAGTGGCCCAGTTTAAACTTGGAACTGGACCCACATCTGTTTACAGTGTTCTTTCAATTATCCTCTGCTTGCAGGGGGCACTTCACAAAGTTTGGAGTCCAGGAGTCTCTCTAGAAGGAGAATATTATGCCATAGAATGTAAAAGGATTCCCATGTCAGCAAAAGGCCTATGGTAGGTGAGTGGCAATGAGATCTGGACTAGCCAGTAAAGCTCATCAGAGCCAATACCAGCAGGTATGAGAAGGTGGGAAAGAAAAACGTGGAAAGGAGAAGGCAGAAGAATCAAGATAGGAACAAGGAAAAGATGGAAGGAGAGTCGGGGAAAGACAGGGGAAGGCCAAAAGCAAAACATTTAATATTTTGCGGTCATTCGTCCATACTGGGTCCTACTGATTATAAATGCTCAGCAGACATAACTTCGCCATTTCATCTGAGGGTGTAGTATATTTCCTCCCAGCATCATGCCAGGACACTTCCAATTCAGATTCAAAGGGAAGGAGGCCAAAAACTGAGTCACCATCACCATTTCCTGTAGCACCTGGGTTTTCCTTGGAGGTTTCCCATTCCAGTGCTCAATTTCTCTGACCTTACTTATGAGGCACAGGGGACACGGACACATGGACACATGGACACACACACACACACACACACACAAACACCCCCGAGAAGATGCCTGAAATGAAAATAAGCCTCCTTTTTACTGGTCAACTATCTCAATATCAATACCTCAAATTATGAGAAAAAAACATCAGGTCAGTGCAACAAAGACACATGCTGAAAAACAGACCTCCATTCAACTGTCACTCATCCTTAGGGAAGAAGAGGGGATGGGGAGATCTTAACTATGTGCGCACGCGTCAGCCAGGTTCCTTTCCAACTTTCTTGACTGCCTATAAAATCTCTTTCCACAAGGGCTATCGAGGTGGTTTCACTTTCCAATCAAACCGCCTTAAAATGAAATCCATCTAATCTGTAAAATGTACCGGTTAATACGTCTGCGATTTGAACAATCGGTACATAGGAGCTATTCATGGGGATCCTAAGAACAAAAGATCATTGTCTTTGGTTAACTTGCGACTCTAGCTGTTCAGATGCAACCCAGATGGGAAAATATGCTGCTGCAGAAAGCGATGAAGGGCCCCCTTTTCACATCAAAATTTCATCAGGAGAGTTTCATCAATTTTCATTTTATATTTGGTAAAAATATGTTTTCCACACTTGACAAGTTATTTTATGCCAAAGCCTATGATCCGAATCTTTCAGTCTCCTTGAATTTAAGTCGCAAAGACTAGGGAACTTGCATTTCTTCCAAATTCCACCTTTCCTGTTTTAAAAACCCTTAGTTGGCTTGTTCAATCACAGAAAGATAGAACGAAGCAAGGGTAAATGAATGAACAGACTTAAGATCTATTAGGTACAAAAAGTACAGTTGCTTTTTAGAAACAAAAGGCCTCTGCATTGAATGTTTCCTGCCTGAGATTCTGTTTGTAGCAATGAGCAAGACCAGAAATGCACTGGGTCACCATTCAGCACGGAGTCACCTTGAGATAAGAAGACTCCACCATGGATAACGTTCCAAGGGCCTCTGCTGACCAAAATCACAAAGGGGACACTGCTGTAGGATGTTCTAACCCCCAGGGCAATCACACGTGAATAGAGTGAGACCTCCAGGTACTGCTCCAGCCCCCACAGAGAACACCCAACCGTGCAACACCAAAGTGCACACGTAGCATCCCAAAAGGAAAAAACCAAACGGTGCTTCCCAAGCCACAGGGTGATTTCCTATCAAAACCATCTAAGTAAGATGGCCTTGGACAGTCAAGGTGATAAAGCAATTGATTTTTTTTTTTTTGGATATTTTTATTGGGGAATTGGGGGGATGGGAACAGAGACGTTGCTGTCATTTTGTTCCAAAGTCTAGTTGTGGAGGACGTTGCTTCACTGACCCAAGTTGGCACCATCATTACACTCTTCCTGGGCAAGGCAGGTCAGTCGCCGGCTTCTGGACAGCCGCTCACACTGGCTGCTGGCCACACACGGTAGCCCATGGCAACCCACTGCAGCAGGGGCCGCAGCCCACGCCATCCCTGGCGACTTACGGCAGCCCAACTCCAGGTTGAGCTGCTTGCTGTTCAGCATCCCAGCTGTAGAGGGCAGTGTCACTGACCCTCATATATGGGATCCGAACTGGGGCCCTCTGGCGTCCCAAGCCAGCTCTTAACCATCACGCCACTCGGCTGGCCCAGCAATCGATTTTTAATACTAATTAATGGTTGACTACACACTAGGAACTCTAAAAAAATAAAACTCTCTCTTTTCTTTCAGCAGTACTTCTTGCAAATAAGCCAAGTAAATATGTTTTAATGCACAATTCATTAAACTACTTCAATCCGTCTTCATTTTTCAAGGTCAATAACTATTGGTTTCAAGTTTTCTCTACTTACATTCTTTTTTCCATGTGTTTAGCACATCTTAAAAAAGAATAAAAGAATAACATGGTACTTGCTCAGGAATTTTATTTGGAAATGTTTCAGATGGATGAATATAAAAATTTGCTTACCTCATCCCATTCTAAAAGGTAGTTGGTGATTTTTGAACCGTTGTCAATTGGTGCCTGAAAAAATAAAAATGAAAAGAGATTAGAGAAAGCGGGTCACAGACAAAAGTTATGAGCTACCCACTTGGTTCAAATATGATGTTTATGCTAGTGCTATGCTATATAATCCTAGATAGCTCCTGCATGTCCTTGGTCAAACATTATCACAAACCAATTTTAATACAATTGAACTGTAAAGAGAGCCCCCACTATTAAAAAATCATCCCCACACACAGCCAAACCTGCCTTCCCCACCACCTCTACCTTTTACACACACATGGTCCCCTACTTTCTCAGGGGATAAAATTTTTAAGAGGTAACTTTAAGTTCAAAAGTAGAGGAGGAAAAAAGGCAGCTGAGAAACACAGGCACTGCTTGGGGTCTGGTGGGAGAGAACTGACTCAGCTAGGTGCAGTCAAGAATCATTATTTTTGTAACTTCTTCCATCAGTTTTTTCTTTGTTTCTTCTTTTTTTTTTCTTTCTTTAGGTGTTTCAGATTAGAAAGTCTCCTGTGGCATTAAGATTCCCCCCTTTTTAAACAAAAACGAGGAAAAATGGGATCCTCTGACTAGATTACCAGAAACTGATAGCAATTTACATGTCAGCAAAAAAAAAAAAAAAAAGTTTCATCATTTGCTTTCCTTTCAAAAGCATGCTGAGATGTTTCACTGAGAAAAAAGGCTTTGGACAATGGGAAGGGGAGTGAAGAACTTTGGAGAAAAGAGTGCTTTGCAGGATTCAACCTGCCATAAGGGGGGAAAGCAGTGGGGTCCCTCACAGCACTAGGGTAGTAAGATTAGCATTGGGGTAGTGAGAGGGAGGGAGAGAGTGCACTATGTAAATCCACTACAGAACTATGAACTACCTGGTCTTATAGGAAACAGTAAACAGCATTTGTTGCTCTATTATTGTTAATAAAACATCATCAGGGGCTCAGAAAATATAGTTAAATGAATAAAGAAACTCTTCCCCACTCCTTTCCTTCCATCTTCCTTCTGAATCATATAATCTGAGTCCCCAGACCCAGATTTCAGGTGAGCACTATATGTGCTACTGAACTGTAATTTCATACTTTTGTGGGCTCAATTTGGAAGACAGGATAGGGACTCATTTCATGTTCTAAATAACAGATAAAATCAAAATTTTAGATAAGAACCCATTTCTAAGAAACGAATTACATTTCTAATGACTCATAAGCCTCCGAGAAATTGTTCTTCAGTAGTTTCTGAATCCCGTCCTGTGATATCCTGCCCTACCTCCAAGACCCTACTCCTTTAAGGACAGGAATGCTGCCTTTGGTCTTTGTCTCGCCCTACCTACTATTGCTGACTAACAAGAAGGCTTTGGGAGATCCTGAGCTCTCTCAGTGTCTTTGTGGATTCGGAAACCAGCGGGCAGCCAGGACATGGTCCCCCTGTCCTCAGGCCGCAGCTGGAGCGCCATGATCAGGAAATCTCCTTGTCGCCTTACAGCCGATTCTTAGACCACCCCCCCTGCATTAGCCTCTGACCCATTAGTCGAGAGAGTGTCTCAGAAAACTGAGGCCGGATGGAATGATATCTGTAAAGCTCTCTCGGGGGGCGTCTCGGCCTGACTGGGACCTGATGGAATGATATCAGCTGTCTCCCCTGGGAGGACATGTAATTATGTCTTGGGGCAATGTGGTGGAGTACGAAGGCATAGCATTTGCTGGAGTACACTGGGAAAAGGTCATTGGAAAAGGCCTTAAGGTGCACCAGAATACACGGTTAATGACTCACAGCACAGCAGTTTACTTCCTTGAAAATAATCAATAAAAACCATGCGTCGACCTGATTCGGTGGCTCAGTCTATCTCTGAAGGCTGAGTCCCTTGGTCTCGCTCTTAAATCTTACTTTTGTCTCTTGTACTTATTCGATCTGCGCCGCCCCTCTCGTGTCCCATTTGCCCTTGCCACGCTGGACGTGACATCTCCTCTTAGGACAGTTAAATAAAAACGGACCTAAATTCAGAACTTTCAAGTTTGTGCATGATTGAATGTTTCTGATTCACAATTAAATATAAGAAAACATGAAACCTTTTCCTCCTAATAAAAAAACTCCCCCCGTCACTAAGTTGCTGGTGTCCCTGAGACCTGAACTTGATCTATGTTTCAAGCAGAGCATGTATCAGTGATTCCCAACTTTAGGTTTATAAGACCCCGGGGGTCCCTCTGGTAGTCTTCAGAAGATTTCTTGTATTTTTCGAACAAAATAAATTTTAATCGTTCCTTAATTATATATATATATATATATATATATATATATATATATATATATATATGTGTGTGTGTGTGTGTGTGTGTGTGTGTGTGTGTGTATAATATAGAACACATTTTAAAATGGATTATATGCCCCAAGGAGTATACAATGATGACCAGCTGGGTGTTAAAACTCTGGAAAGGTGGGGAATCACTGACCTGGGTTATCCCTGGAAGCCAGGAAGGAAAATAAAACAGTTCAGATTCTAAGCCAGTTCAAACGCTGTCTTTGTCCAAACAACACACTCCATGTTGGCACTGGCACTGAGAAGGCAGCTGCCCACAGGAGACGGGTCTTTCAGAGAAGCCCATGCTTTGCTGCCACCCACTACTGTCAATTGTTTTTATCAACTTCCTAGACACAGCTGACCCTCTGGTACAGGAACAGAGACAAAATACTTCCTCTTCACCAATAATGGATCTCCCTACTTATCTTGTTTCTTTCGCACATTAACGTTTTCCCCAAATACCATAAATACTTACTATCTCTGCTTCCACAAATTTTACATTTTAAACTGTATTTAAAAATATCCATATACAGAAATAATGATCACAGAGATGGATAACATCATCTACTATTTTCTTGCAAATACACAAGTATGACTGATAAGCTAATAATGCACGTTAAGGACTTCTCTTTGGCAAGTTATTTGTAGCCAGTAAATTATATTTCATGAAAACTACTACATAATTTGGACTTCTAAAAATAATTAGTAATCCTGACTGATCTAATGCCTAATTAGTAAAAATTAATGAAGTCTTAATGTAGTTTAAGAACACTAAACATTCTAGGCAGTTTTAAAACATTAAACATTTCAGAGGCACCACAAAAAGAGGCCAATAGAGCCTTGAACCTACTTTATCTCTAAATCTTAAAAACTTTTTACTGAAGCCCTCAAATGTTTGCCGAGATGAATTAAGCCATTAGAAAGTGATGAAATTCAAGTATCTTCAGTATTTATATCATTTATGAGGTTTTGCTGATGATCCTTAAAGAGATTTACCAAATTCCCCTGCAAAGTGAGCTAAAGCTTAGTTTTGCAGCCCCACCCTTTTTCATAGACATGGTAACTTTTGATAACATAATTTGTTTCACAGTTACTATGTAGAAAACCAAACACCTCCGCCAAACTGAAATAGGGCTCAATAAATGTTTAAATGATTATAGATTTCAGACCATTTCGGATGCTTTGAGCTACCCACCTTCCATTGCAAGGTTAGTGAACTTTTGCTCCTGTGTGCCAGCTTAGGTGGGAAGGGGCACTCGGGTGCGCAGCTATGGGTGGTGAAGCTAACGGGCTCAGAGCAGGATCCCTTGACGGAATTGTACATAGCATATACCCTGGAAACAAAACAAGCACAGTCAGTGGCAGTGGCCCATCACAGAGTCCTGGGTTTCCCTCTCAGCTTTCCTCCAGGGCTCTCCCTAGAGGAACAGAATTTCTTCTGTAGTACACACCACGACTCTGGTTTTTCTCTGCTGGTCTCGTCCTGACCTAACTTCCCAGGGAGAACCATCCCAGCAGGGAATGCGTTCTCTCCTTCTGTTAATGGTAAGAACCACCCAGCCTCATTCAAGACAGGCCGGGTCTACTGATTGCAAAAGAATATGCGAAACACGAAAACAGCCTTCATCCCTAGAAAGGTCTCCAAATGTACATCCTAAAAACCAACAAGTCACTCTCCAGTTGGCTTTGTCTGGAAAAAGGCTAAAAGTAAAGAGTTGGTGAAAAGGGGCAAAAAGCAGGGACGAGAGTCCAGCGAGACTGGGGAGGCCGCAGAGAAGTGCAAACACCAGGGACAGCTTTGAACTGTTTATAACACAGGTAGAAATATGGATGTTTCATATATAAAGACGTGGCCGCTACTGCCGATTGCATCTCTCTCTAATTCGACAAATACAATGTTCAGGTACAGTTTATCCCTGTGAACATTTAACTCCTGCACCTGGCGCCAAGATTAGATGTGTACTCTGTACAGTAAAATGCCTGGCTCAATGCTGAACACGTGTCCGATATCTCCAGAGGAGCTGTGAACAAAAAGCATGCAATGTGCTACTATAAAACTACTCTCCTTTCAAAAACCATAAAATAGGATTATGCTGATGTTTATCTCCTACTTTTCCCTTTTTATTTTACACTGGGCATTGAAAAAGTTTAGAAGCATACTCTTCTAAAATAACAAAGAAATATTTGCTGCGTAAAAATAGATGCAAGGATTAAGCTATTGAGTTGGAAAATACTTGTCAAGCCCTTAATTCTTACAACAAACTTTTATGAATTCCCATTCAAGATAGAAGAAAACTCAGACCAGAGAGGTGAATTAAATTTCCCAATGTTACACAGCTAGAAAGTGGGATCCACTGTACTCAGCTGTGGAAGTCTAATGGCTACACTCTATTGCCTGCTCTGCTTTACTGATCTGGTGATCGGTGTTTCTCTAAACACCCACAATCCATTTCCCCTCATTCTACCCAATGAACATAAACAACAGCTAAAGAGAACGTTATGGAAAATAGGTACTAATTAGGTGTGTGATTTGCAAAGTCCTTTTCTCTTCAAAGCCATTACAAAAGATTTACAGACGCCATGCAAAAGTGCCAAGAGATGTATTAGTAAGAACCTAAAAGGTAAAATGCTACATGTTTACTAGATATTTGACTTATTTGCCTTATGGGAGGACAGACATCATGACACTGATCCAAACAAAGGATGCTTCTCATGAGGATGCTCTCCACCCAAGCTGTTGAGAAAAATGCTCCTTTTGTACGCACTGTAAGTAGACACATGATAATATAAAACCGAATGGTAAATTTGGCAAGATCATTTCTATGTACCAGGATCAGCTCACTGGGAGTAAGTTACTTAAAATGAATCACAGAATGTTCCAGACAAAGGTCGGGTTCCAGCCTGAACTTCAGTAGATCAGAATTCTCCAACTGGTGGCTTATAGGTTGCATCCAGAGCAGAGGGACGCAATATATAGTGTTTTTAAATATTAGAGCCACCTATGCATTAAAGGATATAGGCAATGGTCATCTTAAAAGAGACAAGTAGATATTATGCATTCCTCATGAAAAATCATGCCACTATCTATGAAATCCTTGCTGCCAGCAAAACTGAATTTGTATCTGATGAAGCCTCTTCACAACTTTACAGTAAACAGAAAGAACAGATTAAGCAACACTTCAGGGATGCAATCAGCCTAATTCACAGTGCAGAAAAGTCTACAGGGCCAAAAATAAATAAAGAAAGAAAAAGAGAAAGAAAAAAAGAGATGGAGGGGAAACCTATAGATTAAAAAAAATTTGCAAGACATCAGCCAAACAGAATATTCACACCATGTTTGAATTCCAGTTACAACATACTGAAAAAAACAAAACCTTCATTTTTAGGACAGCTGAAGAAATGAGAACAGTCTCTGGGTTTTAAAAAAGAAATTTATCATTTTTGTTTGTTCTGGATGGGCGTATAATAGCAGCAATGTGGTTTACAGGTGAAATAATATGATGTCTGGACTTAATTTCACAATAACTGTGGGAGACGGGGAGGGGAGGATACCAAAGAAATAAGGAGTTGGGTGATGGGTATATGACAGGTCATTAAACCACTGTCTATTTTTTACTATATCCGCAATAAAAAGTTAAAAATTAAGCCAATGATGAAAAATATCCCAGAGATCTCTCATTTTAAAAAAAGAACCTCTTGCTTCTCTAAAACTCGAAGTCCTAGCAGCACCCAGCTGCACACCTGCAGGGCAGTGATTAGAAAAAGCCAAGAGCAGCTCCCCCTTTAGATGGGAGCAGCTCAGCAGGTCCTACTGTCTCCCTAGGCACTGAGTGAGTTTTTTGGCTGCCTTTTGCCCTATCAGCTTGACTTAGGTTCCCAGTAGGTATCTCAGTTTGCATCACTAGGCATTTGCTTACACTCTTGCAGGGAAGCAGGGAAAGGGCCTGCATAAGACTATCCGAATGCAGTTCAGTTATCTGGGGAGATTTGGACTCAGTCAAGTTTGTTCTTTGTGATTCTCAGAGTCAGAAAGCCATCCTTACTAGGCCAGAGAAATATGGCTAATGGGAGGTCCTGGTAGTCAGCTTGGGAGGGTGACAGGAGGAATAAAAAAAACCAATGGCAGAAGCAAAATCTGAGGTAGTTGAAGATGGACAGTTGTACGGGCCACATGGGAGTTATTTTCCTGGTCTTTAAACTCAAAGTATGTTATAGTTTATTTAAATTAAGAGTCAGTGTTTTGCACTTGTAAATGTCTGTTCACAAAGGAAACAAGATCCATTTTATACGGCAACATAAACGTGCTGCATACAGTGCCTAACATTTGACATGCTATTTACGTATCTCATGATTACATCTGTCAATTAAAACTAACGGTAACAATCATCTCCGTTTTTACCAATCACTTTTCCATAAAAGAAAAGTCTCTGGAAATGATGCTGTATTTTCAAGAATGTTGCAATCATGTGTTCACATGATGGTGATGTGTTTTCCCTAAATAGCATCAGCGGGTAGGAAGATTTGTGGAGCAGGGTCAGTTTCTTTGGTTAAATACATCAACAAGCAGTTCAGCTCCTTTTACATTTACCCCAGCAAAGAATCATCCATTTTTTCTAACGATATAATTAGTCTTGTGTTGGGGTTTCACATTTGTTTCAGTTTAAGTACTGACTAAATGCTTATGAAACAGGTGCTCTCAGAATTTCAGAAATTTGCTCCCCACTTCTGCCAGCACATCTGTAATTGACAGGAACCACAGCTGCTTGTCCATAACATCTTTTTCATAACTCTGCATTGAGCTGGCCAACCGTATTTTTGGAAGTGTTTCATCACATATTTTTTTCTGGGAAATGTTATTACATGATATCATCTCTGGGCAACTTCTTGGCCAATTGTTTATGCCAATGACTGGAAAACTGCTTCAAGTTTCATCATGAAATTGCTAATCATGCCACTCAAATTCCTGATTATCCTATCATTGATAAAAATATAAATTCTTAACTTCCACAGGAAAATGGCTATTGCAATGCCATTGCAATATAAACTATAAAACTACCAATTAAAAAAGAATGTGATTTTCTTTGCATATTCCTATAAATATTTATTGGTATAAATAAGTGAACATATATGTTTATATACATATATATATATATATATATATATATATATATGCACGCACATGAGATTTTGTATTGGTGGTTTTATACAATACATACCACAATGTCCTATATGAAAGCACTAAATAAATATACTTTGACAATCACAAACTGATTCCTCTTAAAAATTCAAACAACATGAAACCAAAAAGAGCAATCTGTGTTAGGAGTGGGTAACAAATATAAAAGTAATGACCTCAATAAAAAAAATCTAACCCAAGACCCAACAACCTTAATTTTTTGCAAATCAACCTAATAGAGGGGTATTATTTTCCACAATCACTAGGGGTGGGGAAAAGAAGAATAACTGAATAGATATGTAAGCAATGGCACATTAAAATTCATAGCAAAAAGTGAGGAAAAAATTTCTTTAAATCTGTAATATTTCAGGCTATAATTTTCCACGTGGAATTTGGCCTAAATGGCATGGCCAGTGCCAATCTAAACAGCCACAGGCACACACATGCCTGCAGCATGCAGCACTATGTCAAGGATGCCACTGGTCTCTTACTAAATTATTCCCAGAACAATGAGGTGATGGCAAGAAGAAGTCAAGGGCTATTCTTGCCTAGAAACGGATGCCAAGCACCAGACAGCTCAATGACAGGGCTCCATGATTGAGAGACTGCTGCTTTCCCAAAAGGGCTTATACATATGATTTGTAAACTCAGAAAATACTCGCTAACATGAGAGAGGTACAAGTTGAAAATGAAGAAAAGCATTATATAAAGATATCAAGAAATCAGCGTGAAGGGGATGGCATCAGAATAGCAACATCAAAAGCAACAAGCAATATAAGAAGAGAAGGCCCAGCTGAGACGCCAGTAGATGATTTGAGAAAGAAACTTTTCACTCTACTGGAGAGTGATTTGAATGGACACTTCTGCAGGCCTTGATCAAAACTGTGCGATACTAAGAACTGGAAAGAAAATGTAGCCTGTTTGGCACTGCTAAAATAAATAAGTCCATTTTCATCATTGGCTCTACAGGCATCCACGGGGCAACACTTTCTAACTGGATGATGCATAAACAAATGAAAATGGCAGTGGATGTAACGGCTCATTTTGCAGCTGTTCAGTTATAGAATTCTTTTGTAGCGTCTGTTATGGATACTTAATGAGGAAACTATTTCTACACAGCCTTGTGAGGCCTTATAGGTGACTATTAAATTTAAATCTGTATTGGAAACTACTGTGGTTGATAAAAGCTTACATTCCTAGAACTAAGGCTTTGAGGATGTTAATCCAAATGCATCATAAAAAGAGACTTTGCTTCTTTTTCTCAGTACCAAATATGGTATAACTTTATCCCAATAAAACAGTGAGTGATATGATCACACTATACACAGGTTCAAAGAACCTGCATCATGAAGTCCTTTTTGTTTTCAGAGTGTGGAAAACCTGCAACAGCCTTGGAAAAATAAAACGAAACAAACAAAAACAACATTTATACACTTTACAGGTTTATAATAGATTTGCACATATATTTCATTTGTTCTCCTACCATCTTTCTGAGGCTGGTATCATTATTATCTTCATTTTATGAATGAGATAACAGGCCACACATGTTCAAATGGCTTGCCTGAGCACACACCTTCACTAAGTGACTGAGTCATTAACCCCAAGTTCCAAGCTCTTTCCATTATGTATCCTGTTGTCTTGCCAAAGCAATTCAAGGCAGAGGAAGCTAAATCTAAGTATGAGATGGAAGTGTTAAGAGCCTTCTCTACCTTGAGAAATGATAGGCTGTAAAGGGAAAGAGAATGAATGATCTATATATGTACTGTGGAATAGGCAGGGCAAAAAAATTACAATTTAGACTGTGGACATTTTTCTTAGGAGAGAATTTTTTAAAAGACTAGAAGAGATCACAAATTTTCTATCTCTCTGGCAGGCAGAGAGCTAGACCAAATGATAGTTGGTGGTGCCTCTGGCTGCATATGTGTAGTACCGCACGTGTCATATGTGTTGCAGTATGGGGTCCCACATGTGTCAGGAGAGAATCTGGAGCCAAGGCCTCTAGATGGTAACCACCTCATGCTTCTATTTCTTTTGGGGACTCCATTAATTGTTTCTTTTACGTGCTCAGGAGTTTGAGGTATTCATAAGACATGGCACTAAAAAAAAGTTGATGAGCAGTTGTTCTCAAGATTTACCCTTTGTAAGAGGGGATTAAAAGGAAATGAAGGGAAACAGCAGACAAGATGGTAAATAAACGGCCAACTCTTTATGACATTTAAATTTGTTTAAGAAGATACTGTCAGGTCATGAATGAGCAGGAAATTAATAAAGTAAACCTTCAGTAAGGCAGGAACAATAAACTGTTAAAAGATGTTGAAAAAAGGAAACATATGTTAACAATGACTAATGGAGAACATTTACATGGCTCCCTATATGGTGTTACAGTTTCTGGTTCCTTGTTAAAATGACAATTTGACAGAATGATTAAACTATTTCTAGTATCACTTCAGATCCACAAATTATACAAATCTTTTTGTTTGTACAGACTATGCAAAAAGTTCAATATATTTGGGGCAAAGCTAACTGGCTCAAAATCTAAAAGTTTTTATTTAAACAGGAAGAGATGGTTGCAAAAGAGTTCATCCAAACACTACAATAGCTATGCAGATGTACACTGTATAACTGAATATAAAACATCTTGCTCTTTTATGCATTGCTTTCAATTTAATATTAAACACTTGTGCGACCAAAAAGATACTATAATCAGGTCCCATCCCTACGTTCCTACCTTTCTTACTGAGAAAACTGTGGCATAGGGATTCTGCGATTGACCAAAGTTCAAACAGTCAGTCCATGGCAGAACCAAACTAGATAGAACTCAAGCCTCCTGATAATTAATATATACTCTTCCTGTTAGGCAAGTCTGCCTCCACCTCATCACAAAGGAACATGTGGTGTGAATTAACCTTTGGAAAGTATAATAAAGGATGTGTGCTTAATGTGTGTAATTTTATTACATAATCATTATATACACATATATAATAACTGAAGAAAGGAGAGGGAATGCTGCTGTGTATCCTATTAGACAAAATTAAAATTTCTGGTCAACTTAAAAATGAAGTAAAATAAAATATGTAATTAATATTAAAATTTTAAAAATGTTACGGGTCACATTCATGTAGCTGCTTATTTGCAAAATGCATGGATGGATGTATCTTTAAATAACCAGATGAGCTCTGTAAAAATCCAGATAATACCATCCTCTTCATAGGTCTATAGTTGTCTGGGTTTATTCCTAAGATTAGCTCTACTTTCCAGAGTAGTCACAGTAGAGATTCCAGAAAAATCACAGTAAGATTTCAGGATACATATCAGACTATACCGGTTCATTGTTTTGCTAAATTGGGTTATGCTTGTCAGAGATCATTTGATATCTACATTTCTTTATTTCAAAACCAATTGTTTTTTAAGGTTCAAAGGTGTTCTTGCAACATGGGAGGGACTTAGTCATTTGGGTTAAATATACAGTTTATACTTATGGTCCATAATAAACATCTGACATACCCAGAGTAAAAGATTCATTTGTTTTATAGAAAGAAAATATTATATATTAAACCACACAGTCCAATAGCTCTCAGAAGACTCTATAAAATAAAAATTACTTATTAAAAATAATTTTTTTAAATTCTGTTCAGTGTATCATCTGTTTCTATTATCAAAAGCACTTCTGTGTACTCTCAACCACTATGCTCTTGAGTGTGGAACAGAACTGCCCTTGAGAATAAATGAATGGCCAATGGGCCAAGGTATTGCAACTTAAAGTTAGGCAAGCGCCATTAACCAAAAACTTTTAAAAGGGGGCACATGATTTATTCGAGCAGCTGAATTCTCCATTGCAGTGCAGCTCTTGTGTCCTAACTCACCTCACATGATAATCGGTTGCCGGTCTAAGATCCTTCACGTTACATTCTAATTCTTCTCCACTGCAAAGAAAAACCATTCATTAGTCAATGGTACCAGTCTCAAAAGTAAAACAGGATTTTGATTTGGGTCTCACTATTATGTACCAACAATAGCTCAAGAACTACTATGTCCAATTCCACCATAAGACAGAAATAAACTATTCTATTTGGTATTGTTATCTTTCTGGACTAGAAAATTATTAGATACCTTTTAGTTTTACCATCATAAATCTGGAAAATGGGAAGGTTACCTTACTAATAAAACTCCATAGGGTCTTATCACTTCTTCAAAGTAAAAACATAAAAATACAGAATAAGTGAGCAAGCAAATTAAATAGAAGGATAAATGTAAATAACTGTACCAGCTGTCAACTGAAGGTAACTCCCAGACCTACCTTGGCAGGAACCCCAACTATTAGGATCTCAGCTTCTCAGCTCTCTTGCAGAAATCTCAATCTGCTTCCCTCACATAACAATAACAATAAATAGCTCCTTACATAAAATACAACCATTAATATCATCAGAAATTGCAACTGAACCTCAACTCAATCACGAGGAAAAAACTAACATAAAATAAGGAATGTTCCATTAAATTTTTTAAAGGGAACGGGGTGTAGGGGGGCATGACTGTATTCTTCAAAAATGTTCGTGTTATAAAAGACCAAAATACTGCGGAAGTGTTCCAAATTAGAGAAGGCTAAGAGACATGACAACCAAATGCAATATTTGACCCTAGGCAGGATCATATCCTAGAGGGTAAGGAAAATGCTATAATAGATATTATTTTGATCAACTGAAAAAACTAGAATATGGGTGATAAACTAGATAAAAGTATTCTATCAATGTAAATTTATGAAGCTGGTAACTCAATTGTGGCTATTTAAGAAAACATCCTTATTCTTAGGAAATATACTGAAGTATTTAGTGGTAAAGGGCCATGATATACAAAACTGATGGGGAAAAATACAGACTGAAAAGAGAGAAAAATGAAGAAAGAATAGCTCAAACAGTAAGGCTAATAGGGTAAAAAGTTAACAAGAGAATCTGGGAAAAGAGTATATACACATTTCCTTGATTTCTTCATTTTTGTGAAGTTTTATAATTTTGAAATTATTTCAAGTATGAAAAATTTTTTTAAGTTGTAAACTGGAGACCCATGTCTACATCTCGTCTGCAGCACTATTTGTTTACCTGCACTGTATCTTTAAACTTTTTTTAATTTGCTAAATTAGTTTAATATTAGGGAAGTTTACGTAATATAGATTTTCAGCATTTCTTGAAAAACAAAAAAAATCCACAAATCAGCAAATCTAGGCCTGCGTTCCCTTCTGGCAACAAATCATTTTAGGTGAGCACAGATCCCTTTCGGATAGAGGAAGATAGGAGCGCTCCTGTTCACCTCATTTCCAACTTTTGCTTTTTGCTTTTCTTACTTCTGTTACCTGCCTCGCCCTTTTGGGCACTTGAGGCTATATCGCTCTTGTCACCAGCAGTTACCTGGCATTGATAGAATCTATTTGTTTCTTGGTGGCGCTGGAGGAAATGGTGCTCTGCATTGCTTTAAGGTCTCTATCAATTCTGACTTTTCAAAAGAGAACCAAATGGTTGTGAGCCAGAGTATGGAGTTAGACTTTTCTTCTGAGTACAATACAGCGGGGATCACTGGAGTGACATGGTCTGTCTTACGTTTGCGTGATGTGAAGGTTAGACAGCAGGAGAGCGAGAGTGGATGCTGGAAGACCCTGAGAGATTCCTGCAGGAGTCCACGGAAGGGACAACAGAAGCACCACGGCAGGGGCAGCGAGGGCAGCGAGTGGCTAGCGGGCTTCCTTCCCCATCTCTTTCCCCTTTTCTTTGTCAAGAAGGCACGTCTCTGGCACAAGTTAAGAATAAGCAACAGGGCTGGGAGATAGAAAGTCTGCAGCGCTGATGCAGCAGCAGAACAGGGGAGAAAACCAGCCTCTCTGGCAGAGGAAGAAGTGGGGTTTGTGTGGGCACATGACTTTGGGCTTCACAGTCATTCCAGGGGCCCCTCGCAATTGGGGGTGAGGAAGTGGGGGGTGGGGTCAAACAAGTAGTTAAAACAGGACTGAATCTGATTTCCTGCTCTGAAAATCTGAGCACTCACCACAATTGCAAAGGAGAGACCTGGCCCTAAAATTTTTTAAATCACATTTAGAACCTAGCTATAAATCATATGAAGAGTTAATACCTAGGAGTCCATAAAGCAGGAGATAATCCCTTACTTTGTGTGCTTAACTTCTGACCATTTAAGAAAGGCTTGTCAAGAAATGCTTAAGTAATCTTTACTACAGGCTGGAAAACTATTGTGGAGGATAAGAAGTAGAGTGAAGTTCTTATTTCACGTAACTATGAAACCATACTGCAGAATTTTCAAGAACAAGACTAGTACAAGGTCTAAGTCTAAAAAGTAGTAATCATATGAGGATGTAATGTTATGTAGAAACTAAAAGTCACGCTCATGTTTTGCCCTGATAGACATTAATGGAAAATTTTCACTGAACTGACAAGCTAACAAAACAAAGTGACATATTTCACCAACACCAAACAGCCCTGTACTAGTCCTTTCTGACTAATTACTCTGGACAAAACTAACTTTTGACATTCTAATTATCATTAACTCTTAAAATGAACAGTTTCAAGGAAAATTTGCAAAGCCTTTCAATTTTCCTTTATTTCCTATTTCCCTGAACGGCTCCCACTCCCCAGCTGAGCAGTAGAGAAAGACATATGAAAATATACGTAACCTGTAAATTATCTTGTATTTTCCATCTCGTCCTTTGTCTGATAAGGCAACCTCATAACTGTAGGGGAAGGAAAGACCGCTGTGGGGTCCACAGGAAAGTCCAACAGGGGGCGTCCAGGACAACACAACTGCTCTTGCCTGAATGTTGGAAACCTGAGGAAGAAAAAGATAGACAAAGTATTTAAATCCGTTCCACACAGATCAAACACTACTTGTTTCAATAGCATTTTTGTGATTATTAGTAGTGGCATAAAACTCACTCAGAGTTAATTCAAGGTAAACAATTTTATTTTAATTACAGCAAACAAAAGTATCCTACATGGTGCTGTTTTGTCAGGTCCTAATGTCCAAAATATAACTCCTGCAACTCCTGTCCTCATAACGCAAACTTTCATCCGAGTCCCATACAATTCAGATCCAGTCCAACAAATCCGTCATGTTTGGCAGTTTTTTTAAAGGTAAAAAGTAGAATGTGAGATTTCAATGTTCAAGAGACCCATGACATTGTGGAGGGAGTCGTACCCACAGGTGCTTTCTGGTGGCCCCCAAGTCTTGCTTCGTGTAGAATTATCCTGCGAAGCTAATACACTCAGTCCTCACTTAACATAGTGAATTTGAGACTTTAAGTGAACCGACATATAATGAAACCAAGTTTACCGTAGGCTAACCAATATAAATAAGAATTAAGTTCCTGCGGCATTTCATCAACATTATAAAGGAATACTGCTGAATGAAATGATGTTATTTAAGGACCTGCTGTACTTTCCACATCATGCTCCTTTTAAGTCCTGTGGGCTTCCAGGAGACTCCAGTGGCAGGGGAGTGGAACCAAGGCCCAGGCTGATGGGGTAGAAACGTGTGTGGAGGCGGACATGTTTCATCTCTCCAAGCTCTGCTTTTTATCTTTCCAGTTTAACCACGACTTAAGACTTCATTTGAACACAGCGCCCTGGAACTCTACACACCCCAGCTTCCTCCCTTTAGGATTTCTCTAAGGCATGTTCTATACTGTCTTCTGGCCATCCTCAGCAGGACCCAGCCCAGCTGCACACAGCTGTACCTGCTCACTCGCAGACCTCCCCTTCCATCTCAAGTCCTCACTCTAATGCTGCTTTCTGGGGCATCTCCCCACATCGCACTATTTGCTCCCAAATCTTTGTTTTAGAATATGTTTCTGGAGAAACCAACCTACTGCAGGACCTAATTCTTTAAAATAACTCTCTGAACAGAACTTTAATGTTCTAATTTTCTAAATGTTATTTTGTTGCTCTCTGGATAACATATTAAAAATGAAGAGTTACTACAGATGCTAAAGCTTAATGCTCATAAAGGCTTTATAGCTATAGAGTATTAGGCAGGTGATGGAGATATGTAAACTAGTCAGTCTCCATCTTTTTTTTCCTCCCATTTTTGTCACTATCTGATTTATATAAAGAGTATTAACATGTAATATAAAATCACTTAAAAGCATGAACAATACATATGAAAATGAATGTTGAGTCTCCCTTTTCAGTCTGTCATTCATTCCATTTTTAGCCAGAGACTCTTCCCGCATCATTTACGTTTTGTATAGATATAGCATCATGATATATTTACCCAATTATTTAACCAAACTTCTACTCATCCTTTAAGTTCCCAGCCAGGCCTCACTATCCCCAAGTAGCCTTCCCTGAAATGTTGCACCCACCATCATCCCTCGGTTCTACAGAAACCTGTTGATACCTCTATCACTGCTAATCATGTTTATGGCCTTTTTCTCCCTCCCCACTGCACTGTGGGACTCCCCAAGGGCAGAGCCCAAGTCATAGTCGCCTGTGAGGAGTGGCTGCCTAGGAAAAGTCCGTTGAATAAAAAACAAAAGGCAAAGGGAATAAGATAGTCTGAGTTTCTGATACAGGCGACAGTGGATGGCAGCCAAACATTACACACATCTTTAAAAAATTCTGAGGAAACACTGCTATGGAATCAAACTGGACCCTTGGTGATATGGCTCTCGACTAGCAGTCCCTCGTCCACTGTACCCCTCCCATGTCGCTCAGCTGTAACTCCCCTAGGACGCCGTCCCCTCTCATGCCTGTGACTGCTGCTTTTGACTTTCTCGCTTCCTTGGCTTTAACAAACTTCTTTTACACCCAGTTCAAATGCTGCCTTTGCTTATTCTTTTCATCATCACACCTCACCCTGTGAGGGGTTGTGAGCAGAGAAGATTAAGTAAGATATGCTGTCTACCTCCAGGAGCACCAGCCTGGTGAAGACAGGCAGATGCGGGAGGGGCCGCACCGTAGACGCACTGAGCACAGAGGGACCCACAGAGGCTGGGGACCAGGAAAGGTTTCTGCACTGTCCTGCCCGAGCCCCTGCTCAGAATCCATCACTATCTTCTTTGTGTTCTGGCTACATTTTGCTAGTACCGACATTTGGCACTGTTTTCACTATACTGTGTTTTCCTTGGTTATTTGTGTGTTGGTCTCTGGACTACATTTTAAGACAGAATTTCTATCACACACACCAATGCTATTTGCTGAATTCCTTCACACACCATCAGTGAATAATCTTGAGGCACTAGGTATAATATTTGATCTTTAACTTAAGAGATCTTTTGCAATGAAGACTTCAGTTGACAGTTTTAAAGGAAGCTGGTTAGGTACTGGGAAACACGCAGCTGAGGTGATAAATGGCTGCTCTGCACAATTCCACGAACACAGTGTGTAGTAACACTGATTCTATGAGTGATGGTGTGAAATAACATCACGCCTCAAAATAGCTCCGGCAATGCTAACACTTTGGATACTGACAAAGTACCCACAAATTCACAATCCTTTAACCTATCTTTTTCATCAGCTATTAAAGATTTACCTTTTTTCTTTTCGGACTTAATTTATTACTTAACTGAATAAGTGATGCAGAACACTTGAAGCATCAACTAAAATAACGTTTATCTTTTCCCTTGATTCCTGGAACAAGCCATAAGGAGGCAAACTGTCACCTGAACACAGACCTCTGTGCAAATGCCTTCTTCTGATGAGACAGCCTACCAGAAACGCACTTTGAGAACTCAGCCTCGTTTTTCAAAGGACAGCAGCTTCTGGGAATTTTTTCCTCGAGCGAAGCAGCCAGACTGCCACCTAGATTCCTGCCATGGTTATAGGGCCAAACCCCTTCCTGTGCTGCGGAGCTGCCTCTCTTTCACTGATTCCTGGGCCTCAGGTTTCCTTTCTTTATTGGAAGCCTGAGAGAAAGAGGGCTTTGTCTGTTAGAACTTGGAACTCACTTCCATTTCAAGGCCGATGCCAGGAAATTACATGGTGCTTTTCAAGAGCATGTCACGACAAAGGGGATCCTCAGAACGAGTTGCATTTCCTCTAAGTGTCCAGGGAGGTGATAACCTTAAAGAGAGATTCAGGACTCTAGGCACGCGGGGCTAGATTCACACCGATTTCAGGGCAACAGCAGCCTCACACAAGCTTCACCTTGCAAGTCTGTCTGTCTGTCTGTCTGTCTGTCTCTCTCTCTCTCTCTTTCTGGTGAAACTTTCTCACCAGCAGTGACCAATGAACTGAACTGGGGCACAGCTAATCTGATCATTACAGTGACTGCCATGGCTGATATCCAAAAACAGAAGTTTAGAAGCCACAAAACCAACTGACTTTCTGATGTTTAATTATTCGACCGACCGTAAACAGAAGTCAGTCTCCTTTGTCATGATGATTCAGTGGTAATTTCTAATTACAAAATTATAGGACAAGACCCAATGTGACATTTGCTTCAGAACTAGTGATAGGAATCCATTGTGTAGGTTACTGGTGTAAGCCTGCGTCGAAATTGTTTAAATTAAACTGCTTTGAAGTATCTTGAGGGACTCATAAAACCACCGTCTACTTCTAGATGATTACATACTGATTAAAAATCATTCTTGTCTATGTATTTATTAAATACAGATTCCAAGTTGAGAACAGTTGTTAAAAGCATGTACACATATACAGTGTGCCCAAAAACGTATACATGTTTTAAAAAAGGAAAAAACTGTATTAAAATTGGAATACTCAATATATACCAATAACAAAAGATGAATATGTCACGTTTGACTTCTGAAATTACAAGAGGTGCTCAAAGTGGTTACCATCAGCATAATTTTAATACGTTTTTCCTTTCTTAAAATGTGTATACATTTTTTGCATCCGTGTGTGTGTGTGTGTGTGTGTACACACACACATTAAAAAATTATAGGACTGCCTTATCTTGTATCTTTTTTATTATAATCCTTAGCTCTCTTTGTCCTTGTCCCTCTCTCTCCTGTTCATCCCAGACTATATTACATGCAAATGATATTATTTAAAACATCATTTACTGTCATAAAGTTAGTAAATTGTTATTCTCAAGCTCAGAAATATTTCTATTTGAGTTAGCTTCTAAATTTGGTCTGGTCTTTGGATTGAACTATGTGGGTGGCCTGCTGATCTAATTAGGAAGTACGTTAAGGAAATATTACCATAAAAATACTGGCTTCACTTCAAAAGTATCATGACAAATAATAACACAAAGTAATATTAAAAAGGAAAAGGTCAAAGACATCATTATTCAAGTAAAAACCATACTCAAGTCTAGGAACTTCACCATCATCTGTTTCCATAATTCTTTAAGTGCAAATCTGTTTCCAGACACACTGCTGTTTATCTTTCACGGAATCACTTCTTGCAGGGACAGTTGTTCCTCTTAGGTCAGTTTACTCACTTCTGGAACCGACAAATCAATTGTTTCTACAAGCTAAACATTAGCAGATGGAAACAATGCAGAACCACCATTCCAGGTTCCATTTATTTACATCCTGAAAATAAACAGCCCAGCAGTATGTGGGAGACTTCACCTAGCACCACCACCAGAGCAGATTAAACTGTATTAGGCTGGACGTGGCTGGTACCGATAGAGGTTAATTCCTATGCCACTTACAATAATATCAAGCTTATTTCTCAGGTATAGTGGCAGCTGTATGAGTCCAGTCCTGAAGGCACCGAATGTTTATTCGAGTCCCAGGACAAATACCTAATATATTGTATACTTATATGTTTGTTTACTCCGTGACTAAGCACTTAGATCTTTATAGTATCTAGGTTTCTGAAAAGTAAATGAATTGCTTAACTCAGGATGCCCAAAAGTTCTAGAAAAATGACTGAAATCCACAAGTCCTCGATATTGTTTCTTCACCTAAAACAAATCATCTGTAAAACCTCAAAGAAAAACATATGTGTTTTATTTAGAGGTGTTACCAGATGTGGCTGAAAGAAAAAAAAAATTAAGAACAATAATCCTTTATACAATTGTGTGCTGGGTTTTCTGCAGCCCTTCTTTCCTGTAAGGTGGCTGGACAACACTCCTCCCCATTTCAGAATGCAGCAGGGAGTGTCACTTGTGCCTTCTGATATGGTATAAATTATAGATCTATATTCCATTCCAAGTACTCTATACATAGTACATAACTTACCTGTGTGTCCCATGTGGTATTTATTGTCCTACCTTTCAAAGATGAGGAAACCCTAGGCTCAGGGAGGTAATGTAACTTAGGTCACAGAGACAGTTAATGGCCACTCTGGGTCCCAGCCCAGGGAGCCAGACTGCAAAGCCTGGGCCCCTCCCCTCGGGCCGCTGCCCTGCCCTCTGGCACCTGGCGGTCCCCACATTCCACCATGCTGGCGGGGCCTCATCTGCTGCTGGCCAGCCTGCCGGCATTTTTCTCACCTGCCAGAAGCCAGCTGCAGCCACTGCAGTCTGCCACACACTTACTTAGCAAATATTTGGTAAGGGTTCACGATGTGCCAAGGACAGTGCTAAGTATGAGGGGCACCAAGATAAATAAGACACAATCATAAACAAGCACTTCAGACAGAGAAAGGTGAGGAAAGTAAGGAAGGAAGGGAGAAAAACCTAACAGGGCCAGGAAGGATAAGTGGACTGTCACCATGCTAAGATGTATGTGGGGACCAGGGGAGAGTTTGGGGGGCAGAATAATGGCCATCACCCCCTCACCGCAAGGTGTCCACATCCTTATCTCCATCACCTGTGGATATATTACCCTGCAAGGTAAAAGGGGCTCTGCAGCCATGATTAAGATAATGATCTTATGAAGCAGAGACTAACCTGGAGTACCTTGGTGGGCCCAGTGCAATGACAAGGGTCTTTATCAGCGAAAGAGGGAGGCAGGAGAGTCAGAGAAGGAGACACGAGGGTGAAAGGGGCCTGGAGCCACGGAATGCAGGCAGCCTCTAGAAGACACTGGGAAAGGGAAGGGATCAGGCTCACCCCAGAGCCTCCAGGGCGCCTTGGTTCTAGCCGAGTGAGACAGACCCATTTTGGACTTGGACCTCTTCGATGACCATCTTGCTACATTTCACCTAACATCATCTCTGCTTATGGGAGTAGCCTGTCTGTCTACTCTGGTCTGAAAACTAGAATTAGTGTTTAACAAATGCTGAATGAAGATAAGAACCAATGCATTTCAACATTGCTTTTATCTTGCTAGAGCAACAAGATCCTCAGAAACACAGACTCTGCCACTTCTAGAGTAAAGAAATAACTAGGAATAACTCAAGACAAATGTGTGTGTGTGTGTGTGTGTGTGTGTGTGTGTGAGCGCGCACACATAGCAGAGGAAAGACTCTGAAGTTTTGTGACTACATCTGGGACCGTCAACTAAGCTGTTCCTCTGCCTTCTCTGATTATGAGTTCTGTTTTCCTCATGGGTTTTTCTTCTTTCTGCTGTACTGTAAATGTAAGCTTTTCCTATGACTCTGTCCTTAAGCCTTTTCTGATCTCACCCTATACTGCCCCCTGCCCAAAGCTATCATCCATTCCTACGACTTGGCCGGTCGCTCCATGCATGTGATCTCCCCATGGGTATCTTGCTCTCCTCTCTCCATAGCAATGATCTCCCAGATACTTGCAACTGCCCACTGTGTTTATCCTGGATGCCCTGCTAGTAAAACAAACTGCTCAAGTCTAAGCATGGCACCAAAAATACAGAAAGAACACAGACATGAACCTATTCTAGAGGAACTCACAGGTAACTGGGAAAGACACAGAAACAAGTAAATGAAGTATAGTGTATTAAATGCATGCTGAGCACCCTGAAGCTGGGGGGGTACAAGTGGTACTAAGGACTGTGCAGTGTCCCACTGGATGGGCCGGAACAGCAAATGGAGCCATCTTAGAGGAAGCAACTTCTGAAAGGACGCATCTAGACCTGAAGGCCCAGTGACCATGACAGCTGATTCCTAATAGGTTATAACGCCTTAAAGATTTCTCTCTGGAATGACTCTAGTATCCACTCTCTCCTTGCCACACTGGATGCCACCACCCCAATTCTGATTCCCAGAGACTTTCGCCACCATTACAGTAACAGATTCCTGACACATATCTCCCTGGGTCATCCTCTCCTCACTCCAACGCATCTGCCAACTGTTTGATCATCCTGAAAGTGCAGCTGTAATTACATAACTTCTTTGCTCAAAAACTCTCAATGGCAACCTGCTCCTCAGCAGATTATGTACAGACTCCTCAACCCAACATCAACACCCCACTCCTTTACAAGTGCCCTATTGTGCCCCTCGACCAACACACCTCATGCTTTTAGGTTTTGTCAAACAACTATGCACCCTGAGGTATGTTTGGACTCTTCTGTTAAAAAGCCTCAGTATTCAAACACATGAAGAATCAAGGTTTTCCAATTCAGCTAGAAAACACTCCAAAGAACTTGGCTCTCTAATCTCAGATGAAAGGCTGAATCAACATTTCGAATTTTTTCACTTGAATTTCAAAGCACCTGGCAAAATCAAGCTAAAAAACCTCATAATATCCCCACTCCAACCAATTTTTTTTCTTGCCATTACACTCAATATTTTGGACTTATTTTTCTCAGCTAATGTTTAAGTATATTTTTTGAAATTTACATGGAAAAATACTTGGAATTATTGAGGTTTTCAAAAAATATTGCTACATTTACACAGGTAAAAGGAAATTACCAGACGAAAACTGTTCTGTAGACCTTGGGTGGGGGTGGGGAGAATGTATCCTTGAAAGTTGTGAAGAATACCTAATTGCATTCAGAATTTCTAAATACAGAGGACATTTGAGAGGATTATGACTAAACAGAAGACTATTGTTCTATATTTTCATGCTCTATTCTTAGCAATACTATTTCATCGTTTATGAATAACGTGCAATGGGAAGGGGCCCTTTTGCTTACCTACTATGTAGTGAAAGAAAAGCACACTTGAAATACTTAAGAAAGTGTCATTTGTGTGGAGAAATCCAGAAGACATACCTGTGGTTTCTCTATTCCCGAAAGAATGTCTTGCACCCTCTTTATTTCCAATTCATACTCTGCATGGAAAAAGGGGGGGGGGGCAGAGAAAAACAGTTAATACCATCAGAAGGCAATAAGGTTGTCAAGTTTCTTTCCCAAAGCTGTTCACAAGGGCTATCATTCACTGAATTGCCTGCTACCATGAACTTCTTTTACCACGAACATGAGAATGAAAATCAGGAACTGAGATTCTTTGGGGCAGGGATTTCACTGTGACTGTGCTAACTTGCCACTATGTTGATTTACACAGTCACAAAGTTGACTAGGTAAACCCGGAGTTCCACCTAACAATTCAACATGTAAAAGGGAACAGAGGGCCCTAAGGAGGAGAAGAGGAGCCCAGTGCAGCTACAAGCTAAGTGCAATGAGCCACGGAGCCATGAAGGTGAAGAGATGGGCGGGGGGCGGCGCAGCTCATGCAGGGCTGTGAGCTCAGGCTTTTGAGTTGCATTTTTATTCTAAGTTTGATGCATAGCTACTGAAGTGTTTAAGTGGAGAGACTGACATGATCTTGTTTTGAATTTAAAAGGATCTGTTTGGCTTCTGCATGAATAATCGACATAGGAAGGTATGGGGGAAAGCAGAAAAACCACTCAGTCTACTCTTGCACAGGTTCAGATGAAGGCTAGAGCTGGCCTGGGCTAGGGATGGAAGTCAAGATGGAGAACAGGACTGACATAGGTGCATGATAGGCAAGGGTGAGGGAATAAGGATCAAGGATCAACCCTAGTTTTGGGCCTGATCAACCGGATGGATGGTGGTGTTTTTTAATAAGATGGGGAAATGGGCAAGTTTGGGGATGCAGCAAGAATTGTTTTAGAAATCAAAAGTGTTTGGAGTAGGGAGGATGGAGTGGAAAGCACGACTAAAAAAAAAAAAGGCAAATGACAGAATTTAAATTTAGGAATCCCTTCTTCTAGAGGAAACTTCTGACTTGCACAATGATGGAATCTAATTTTGAGTTTACATATTTATTTAGCTGTTAACCTAGTTTATAAGCTAAAGGATAGATCAAGACATAGGTCCTTGCCCTCAAGATAGTTCAAGTCTAGTGGGGGGAAACGAGAGCAAATGGGCAATTACAACGTGACTGCGGTGGTAAAAGCAATGCAAAACCCAGGATTCTAGATGCTTCCAAGGAGCCACCATCTAGCTGAGCTCGGTGGGCAGGCAGGCATTTGGAGGTAAAGGGGGAAGCTGAACTAGGGAGTGAGAGGGCATCAACCCAGCTATTCACAGGGTGGTTCATTCTCATTGTTCAGGTCTAATCTCAGCCACCTTTTCAAAGAATCCCACCTCAATCCCACCCCTTGGCCCAGCCTCACTCCAGTCAATCTCATACTTTACTTATTTCCTATCAGTTATTAAAATCTCAAAGTTAATTCTCTTATTTGTTCCCTTCTTTATCACTTGTCTTTCCTACTAAAATGCAAGCTTCAGGAAGGCAGTTACTACAGGTCTGGAGCAGACACATTTTTCTGTAAATAACCAGAGTAAATATTTTATCCAATTATTTTTATTGTAGCTGACATTTGAGTTTCAGATGCATAATACAGTGATTTGACATTTACATTCTTTACGAAGTGATCACCACGATAACTCTAGTAAACATCTCTGTTACTGCACAAATTTATTATGCTATTATTGACTGCATTCCCGGTGATGTACATTACATCCCCACGGCTTATTTATTTTATAACTTGAAGTCTGTACCTCTTAATCCCCTTCACCTTTTCCGCCCAGATAGCAACTATTTTAAACTTTGCGGGCCATGTATAAGCCTCTGTCACACATTCTTCTTTGTTTTTATAGCCATTTAAAAATGTGACAACCATCTTAGCTTGTGGAGCATATCTAGGCTGTAAGACACGCTCACCGTTCAGCCCAGAGCACAGATCCTTCATTATCAGAGCTCAACCAATAAGTGCTGTCTAAGTAAAGAAACCAAGCCCATATACCTTAAACTTTAAAAAGATTAGTTCTTCATTTTTTCCCATTACATTGTTTAGTAGAACATGTTTACCTTTATTTTGATGAGAAAAAGAAATGAGCTGGTGGCAATATCATATTTTTTTTTAAATTACAACTAAAGAACTATTCACATTCAAAAGACCAAATGTCACACATTCATTTGTAACCATGTATTTATGTTAAGATATAAATAATGGATTATACCTTAAAGTGTACATAACTCACATTTTCGTGAAGCTCCTACTAAGTAAATCATTAATTCTGTGTGTATGTATCTCAGAAGTTAATTGCCAGTAAAAACAAACAAAAAAGGAAAACATAAGTTGCAATAAATGAACTGGTTCAGTTATTAAAGACAAAACTTCCTCAATTACCTGTTTCCAGAATATGAAAGACCCTATGGTTTCAAATACACACATAGCTAGATACGTTCAAACAGCTGGAGGGATCATTGCTTCCTGTGGACATGACTGACACTCTGAAAGTGTCTCAGAAGGACAAGAAGCCAGGCTCTCTCCTTGAGGTAATAAAGGTTTAAACATACCAATTCAACAAAGAAAGAAGGAAAAAATTAAAGAGCTCTGTAAAGGAAGAATCAGGATATGTACTAGAGGGCATGAAAGAAAGGAGGAAAAAAAAAATCAGAGACCCCTCCTCCCAGCCAGCTTTCAAATGCAGATGACAGAATGCATTTGACATAAAAAAATGGGGAAATAAATAAATAAATAAAAAAGGACAAGAGATTAGATTGAAGGGGGGAAAATATCTGTTTAAAACTGAAAAGAATGGGGCCAGCCGAGTGGCACATTGGTTAAGAGTTGGCTTGGGAGTGCGAGCTCTGAGCCGCAGGGCTGCCGGTTCAGATCCCACATGGGCCAGTGATGCTGCGCCCTCTACAGCTAAGATGGTGAACAATAGCTCGAGCTGGGCTGCCGTGAGTTGCCGGCGACGGCGTAGGCTGTAGTGGGGCTGCAGCAGCCAGCGTGAGCTGCCATGAGCCACCGTGAGCGGCCGTCCAATGGCCGGTGAGCGACTGCCTCAGCTGGGAAGAGCACAATAATATTACCAACATGGGCCAGTGAAGCGACGTCCTCCACAACTAGACTGAAGAACAAAAGGACAGCAACTTGTCTGTTCCCCTTCTCCGCTTCCCCAACACTGTCCCCCTCCTCCAATTCCCTAATAAAAATCTTAAACAAAGAAAAACCCTAAAAAGAATGGGTTTCAGGTAAGAGCCAGAAATACAAGTGAAAGGTTATGACTGTGATAAGAACTTCCCAAGACAGACCTGCCTTGTCTGTCTGACTAAAAACGACACTTTCTGAGCACCTAGGTATGTGCTAGTTAATGCTCCTTCATCTTGCTAATTTTTACAACATCCCTTGCAAGATGGACCTTTTCTGCTCCACTGTATAGCACTAGGCAAGACTGAAGTCTATTTTACACATGAGTTATCCTCTCCAGTACTGAGCACACCTGCTGGTGTCTTTGTTGACTGAAGGATGAGGATGAGGAACAAATAAGTAAACTGAGGCTCAGAAAGCAGATGAGTTTTCCCCAAGACCACACATCTAGTACATGGTCCCAAAGCAAGTGGAACCTTTGAGTGCATCATGAAAAATTAGGAGAGGCCTGGGAGTCTGAAGGGAGAGAACGTGGCGAGAGAAGAGCAGAGGGTTGGGGCTGGTGGGCTCTTTGATGGAGGTGGATAGGAGAAAGGGAAGGTGGCAGCACAGGCCCTCTCAGTCCCATGACAGGGTTTTTTCCTGAACTCTGAAAAAGCTGTCAAATGAACAAAGCAAAGGCCTTTGGATCTGGGAAGATGGAAGGTTAAGAAAAGGATGAATAAGAAAACTGGGTCATGAATGGAGCCAAACAAAGGATTCTGAGATCAAAAGTAAAAAGGGCAGGGTGTGGGGAGGAAAGGTAGTGACAGGACAATCTAACCTATTATCTCAGGAGAAACGCCTGAGCAAAGCCAGACTGGATTGTTTCTTTCAAGGTTCGAAACTGTGAATACGGAGAGAAGAGAAAAGTGTACTCACATCACATTTATTTAATGCTTTTCCATTTGTGCTGCCACAGACTAAGAAAAAAACGTAAACAGATGCCAGGCACACGATTTGCACACACAAGAGTGAAAATAAAATTTGTTTGAGCTAAAGGGACTTACCACACATAAAATAAACTTTTGTACGAAAGCTAACAGTCTGGTATAAAAAATGCCAAATTTCACAAGTCTGCTAACTAAATAACTCAGTTAACTCAGACCTTGGCCTACCTCTCCTCACGCAAGATTTAACTGCCTTGGAGTAGCCTATGAATTATGAGCACCCTTTTCGCAAAACAGCTTTGGAGCCCCACTATACAGAGTGTTTTTCTGCTGGCTCACATGATTTTTTATTCTCAGTCTCTGTCACACTCACATACATGCCAGAATTGAGAGAGAGTAGAAAATTAATAGCTAATCCCCTCACAAAAATTAACAAAACAAAAAAGAAGAGTTCTGATAATTTCCTTTTGGATAGCTCTTTCATCAAGCTGAAAAGAAAGCTGTGTTTGTTTTTGTTTCCCCTCCCCTTAAGAAATTGGTGTTTGACAACTGAATAAGAGGCTGTCCTAGAAAAGGCAGAAATGCCAGGTTCAGGTGCAAGGTTGTAGGGCAAGTTTCTCTTCCTTCATTGTCAGGCCTGCCTTCTTCCCTCTGGACTGCGGCAAGTAAATTAATCCAGAGGCAAATCTTACAGGCCAACTGCGCATCTTCGTGGACTGAAGCTGCTATAAGGTGAGCACACAGATCGAAACCACTTTTCCACCTTCTTCAATTTTGTTTGTGACCACCGCTGAAGTGGATGGACATGACAACCCACCTTTTACGTCGCTACTTTCTTGATATTTGAAAGCCTTTCACCCTTCAGTGACGATCTTGCTGGTCAGTAAAAAGGGATTACAGGGTGCTCTCAGGACAGTGCTCTGGAGAAGGGCATCTTGTTTTGCAGAGAGAGGCACATTTAGGGGGTAGGTAATTCCTTGAAAAGGAGTTCAG